AGACCATGTGGATGTGGTTCAGTTCAAATATGCTGGACTGACAACATAGTTGCCAATCAAAGAAAACCAAATATACCACATTTTACCGACATTGGGAAGTGCCAACCCTAAGAAAAAAATTAATAGTCGAGTTCAACTGAACCGAGCTCGGATCGGCGTGGTACAACCCGTGAAAATTGAACTTCGGTTCATCGGTGACTCACGGTTCAGTTGAACCATCGTTGAACTTGCTATTGTGCAACCGGGCCTTAGTGATTGAATAGTGTATGTATGTGAATAGTATATTATGTACCATTAAAATAGTCAATGGTACCATAGACATACTGAACTCTGAATTAGGCTGCAAAATTTGCTACTTTAGCAATCACCCGTGACCTAATCCACCTAATCCAAAGGATTCAAATAATCCTATTGTGCAATAATCTGTCAGTAGATTATTTCGTAAGTTTGAACAACATAGACCAGCAACTTTAAGTGATAATAAACAGTATACAAGGTGTCTCGGAATGTGTGGGCATGCTGACGGATTTGTACAGGAGACGTTAAAAACCATAGCAAGTTTCTTTAAACAAAATTTCCAGAAGGGGGCTACGGAGATACAGGCCTCTAAAGGAGTACATGTAAACTAGTAGTAAGTAAACTTTTATAATAGTACATGCGATTTAACTATTTTTTCATACAATAAACGTTACATCATTGCTATCAAAAAGGACACATGAAAACAATTTTAGCATTTCAGTTTTGCAGAGATGGACTAGGTGGAGCGCAATAATAGTTAATTTTGTTTTACCCTTTACAATGAAGACACGAAAATAATGTATTTAAGTACCTTTAACCTTAAACAAACAAAAATACACTCTTGATTCATATCGATAAACAGAACGGTTTTTGAAGAAAAAATATTTTTATTGCATACGGATTTACTAAACAATTTTATATTCAGGTTCAACATGAGCTCCTTCCAATCTTATGCACTCTCTAGCTCGAAGAATTGTAGATTGTTGCGTCATCCACAATGCTTGAACATTGGTTATTATTTGGCCGCAATGAAAATTAATGCTTTCTAATAAGTTTTCCCTGGTGTCGACAGGATTGGCATACAGTTAAATTTCTAAAAATCTTTCAAAAAAATTTAAGTGGTTGAAATATGGCGATCCAGGAGGCGAAGCCACGGGTTCTTCTCTTCTTCTACGTTGCACACGAGTATACTGTTGTCCGTAGACCGAAATCGCAGATTTGTAGCAAGTCAGTAAAGTAGTAAGCCGGGTGAGGTTATAAGTAACAAGTGAATAAATAAAGGCTCATAGGAAATCGGGAAATAGCCAAGTTGTCGGACAGCTGAGACCGATTATAGAAGAAGCAAATGATTCCTTAAAACCATCTAAGAGACCAGCAAAAAATGAATGGATGACACAAGGAATATACCTCCGGAATTAGAAAATCAAAACGTATTCACCTACTTAAAGGGTCGGACTTAAAATTCATTGATCAAGAACAACAATGCAGAGAATGGGCGAGGTACGTCACTGACGTCGTCGACGATGACAACCGAGGAAACATGACGCTTACTGTCTGTGACAACGAGATAGACAGAGGCCCCAATATACTGAAGCAATAGAACAAACGAAACAACAACAAAAAAATAAATTCCCGCTGAACTGCTTAAACTTCTGGGCGAAAAAAGTATTACTTGCTTAACCACAATTTTTAATAAATTATACAGCGAAAGAAAAATATCAGACGATTGGCTAGAATCGCTTTTCATAACATTACCAAAGAAGAGTAGACTCACTAAATGCAGCGATTTTAGAGCTATTAACCTGATAAGTCACACTATCAAGATCTTTTTGCGAATAAGGCAGAGGTCTAACAACAACCACTGTCAACTATCACCCACTACCACCGATTAAAATTATGGAATCTACAACGAACGGTCTCACAGCAATTGTTTACCGGCTTCAACTGTTTACCAGTTTATAATCTCACTTTTTATGAAAGGGCCCAACTCAAGCCGATATCATTTCTAGCGCGCATGCGCTCATTCACCCCTTGTACCAAATTTAGGCGGAATTAAGCGGCGGTTCGGTACATGGAAGTAACAGGACTAGACAACTATAATATTAGACTACGTAAATACCTGTACTACAACCAAGTAGCTTCCGTCCAAATTGAAGACAATCAT